ATGAATCCACTTTACCAACCAATGAAGCATTGTTGCTGTCATACGTGAGGTTTATTAAAAATGAGAAAATATATCAAGAACTACTATTTGCCAGAAATTAAGAGACGGATACAAAAGGAGAAACTATATGTAATACACTGGAAAAACTTTGTGATGAGAAAAAAATTCCACTGAAGAATATTACATCAGCTGCTACGGATGGCGCTCTGGCTATGACAGGGCGTTACAAAGGCTTCATACTCGTAGTGTACTTAAAAAATAAATTCCAGGTGTGCTCGCTGTACATTGCATCATTCATAGGCAACATTTGGTTGCGAAAAATTTGAGTGTGCGCCTCTCTCAATCACTGCAATATATCATCAAAGCAGTCAATAAAATACGAAACAGCTCTTTGAATGACAGATTATCCAATCAGCTTTGTGTTGCTAATGATGAATATTTCAGCCGATAGCTATTTCACACAGAAGTGCGTTGGTTATTAAACGGTAACAGTTTGGCTCGTTTTTACAGTCTATTTGACTCTGTTATAGAGTCCTTGGAAAACAAAGAAAAATAATTGCACGACAACCTCATCACTTCAAAGATTGATATTGCATACTTGACAGACCTGTATGAATTATTTCATGATGTCATTCTCCAGCTTCAAGGTTACGACTTGAATTTGATTAAAACAAAAAATGTCATTGCTGCTTTTGTAGCCAAATTGCTCTTATACAAGAATAATATCGACAGATGTGAGTTTCGCAATTTCCCTAACATGTCAGCAGTATCTTTCAACAACGACGACTTGCTTGTTTACTGCCAATATTAGGAGAACATCCACAGTGATTTCGCAAAATAATTCCAGGACATTTTGAAATTGGAAATACCGGACTGGATGTTGGAGTCTTTTTCAAATGTCAACAGAGCAGGATCACCCCAGCTAGAAAAAGAACTCATTGAACTAATAACGAACGAGGAAATGAAAATGAAATTAAAAAATGGATACCAAGAATTTTGGCTACAAAAGCCAATCCCGCAATTGTACCCTGGATTGTGGTCCATCGTTCAACGATTTTTGATAGCATTACCATCATCGTATTTGTGTGAACGTAGATTTAGTGCTGTGGCAACGTTGCTAACTTAAAAGATAAATCGGTTGCAGATTACTGACTTACGGCTGTTTTTGAGTAAATTCGAGCCTGATATTAACAAACTTGTTAAAAATCATCAAATTCATCATTCACATCAGATTAATTTTAAAATTCAAATTAAAATGTTTGTTTCGATAATATGAATAAAACATTCCCAATATTACAAGATGGTGTTTTACATTACCCTCATCAGAAAGTCTTATTTTCACATGACACACATAATTCAATTATTCAAATAATGACTGCGATTGTGATTCTAGAGATGTAGTTAGGTAAAAAAATTTGGGGGGCACTAGAATATAATCAATTCTCGAAGTGGGCAGTGGACAAAATGAGTTTGAGAACCTCTGGCCTAGTATGATGGGTGTAATGCTATTACATGCATCTCTTGTTTTTTGTTTGAGATGACAGGTATCTATACTAGGTGTTAGAAAAACTTCATTTTGTATGTATCCTTAAACAAAAAAACCAAAGGAGACAGGTCAGGATATCAAGCTGGCCAAGAAATTGTTCTAATATTTCCAATCCACTGTTGGGGTTATCGTATCTGAATTTTCTCCTACCATTGATGTATTATGGAAATAGCATTCACATAAGGAAACCAGCAATGGTTTCCCTATGTGAATGTTAATTTGTATTATTCCACCTATAATAGATGTTCTGTTCATTGTTGGTGATTTTTGATTCGTCAATTCATATTTTCAGTACACATATTTTTAACTTCCCTATTTCCAGGCCTTAACTACTTCGCAAATCGTATTCTCCCCTTTCGTAATCCCTTTCATTGAGGTGATGCACTTTTTTGTATCCTGTTGCATTTCTATTTGTTCGTTTCAAAAATATGTTTGGTAAATTTCACAGAAATTCCTATTTCCTAGGCAATTTCTCATAAAGAACAATTATGATAGGAAATATTTTTGTAACTGACCAATCCAGAATTGAAAAAAAGTTTTTTTTCATTAGTTCTCCCAAAGTCAAAAAATTCAAACCACACACTTTCTAACTTCTATGAGATATTTGCATACCCAAAACTTTCATTTGGATCCTCACACTTCCAGCACTAACAAAGTTTTTAGATTTATTTCTATCACATGCATCACAGTTTCAAGTCTCTCAAATGTCTTTCTGATCGTCTGAACATTTGAATCTTCGGAACACGACGATTTGGGTATAGCTCACCATACATATTTCTTGCCAGAAGAGAGTTTCTCTTTGATTTTGCATTAGTAAATAGAAAGGTACCTTGAAACAAGGATAACTGTTGTTTCCACTGATGATTCTATTCATTTAACGCCATGAAAATATCAAGTGTGATATACCACTGAATTGTGTTTCATCGCTTCATCAATATCTGTAATGAAAGAGACACTTCCGTATTCGGAAGTACTGTTTTTTTTTCGTTCTTTATTTCTTTTTAATAATTGTTTTTTCAACAATGTTACAACATGATAAAAAAAACGACCTGTAATTTTGTGAGAATGAATTGCGTTGATATTCTACATAGTTTTCTTGAAAACATCTGCCATTTGGTCCCTAAATTTGTATCGAGACTAAATGTTTTTTGACTGCGAACAAATGATAAATAAAATGATTTTATGAAAAAATGTGTTTAAAACTAACTCGAGATTACCCCAAAAAAAGTTTTCCTGAAATCTACGAAGTTTTTTCTACGAAATCATTTCATACATTATGGAATGTTTCTGAGATAATTCAGTTAGGACCAACCTTCATTCCATATAACAGTTAAAGAATAAAATGCGTATACTTTAGATTTCACGAATCCCCACAAAAAATCTAAGAGCGTCATGTCAGGTGATCTATTGGGCCAATATGAGGCCACTAAATCACCTGACATAACGTCTAGATATCATTGAAGGGAAAATGTGACTTCTCAAGTACAGTACAGAAAAATCGTTCATTTCGTGACTCAAGAGTAGAGAAATTGTTGTTTGCAACGAAGGAACATTTCATTATGTAGGAAATGAATTTGTAAACATACTTCTTATCGTCAGGAAATGAACGATACATTTTTTAGAATTATTAATATATATCAATTGTTTGCAGATGATTCTTGAAATGAATTTTAAACTGGTAAATACTAAAAAACGCTGATCTGATTGCCGAAAATGAAAAAGTGTTGGATAGATAATTGAAATTCCAATCAAACAGATTGTCACAAGACTGCCTTTTCCAGTAAAATCAGATGGTAGTTCCCTGTCTGCGATGAGTGTGATGCGAAACTCTTTGTTTTATAAAAAATAACTAAATTGATACCATAGAACTGGCCAATACTTGATGAAAATCCATATTAAAAAACTAATCAATACAGTTTATTGTATGATTTTCACTATAAAATATAGTGAAAATCATACAACAAACTGTATTGATTAGTTTTTTGAATTGATACCAGTTTACGTGAATTCTGTCCGGCATTGATATCTTGGCCCATTTGGAGGTTAAGAAGTGTGACTTTTCACGTGCGCATTGTATAGTGTAACATGTGTTGCGATTTCATAACCTGTTTTGTGGAAATTTCCCAAAGAAAAGATGTTATTGAATATCTTTATCAAAGATCTCCATCAAGTATCGGAAAATTCCATCACATCCATTCATCCCAGTGAAATATTTTTCTATGAAAATATATCTGATGAGAACTATCAACAGGGCTTCAATTTCGATTCAATTACTGGTATTTGACACCAACGATGAAATGAGGGTTTTATTCCAAACCATTACATTTTATGGCTTGGAATTAGATTTCGTATGATAACTCTTTTTCTGTCACGAATGTCAAATTTGTAGAAATGGAAAGATAGCACGAAATCATCATTCATTTCAAAGATAAGCTTAGTGACATATGAGTTAAATATTGATTTTCTAAGGCTGTTACGTGAGCACAAAGCAAAGTTGATTTTTGACAACTTATATGCACACTTTGAATTTATGGTTGATATATTATATATCTTGGAAAAATTCTAGGTAAGGTAAGGCAGGGCGGGTGCAGAAATGTGGTCATAATTTCGCTTTCGAAATAAAAAACTGGATGAGAAAGAAACTTTTTGGCTTTCTACTACTCCATCTTGATACAAAAAATGTGGGAATCCTCCAAAGAACGGAGGAAAGCAATCAATTTCAAAGGAAATAACTATACATAAATGTGTAGATCATGCAAAGAAATAATTTTCAGACACAAACTGGAAGAAAAGCCCTCCTGAAACAGTTACTTTCATATAAACATTGAATTACATGAAAAAAAAAATTGTTTGGAAACAAAATCTTTTATGTGAACACATAATTATACAAAAAACACTTTTTTCTACTCAATTTGTGTTCCAAACATTCGGATTGAATCAGATATAATTCACAGGATTTCTTCAAAATATACTGAATGAAAGGTAAAAATTTCACTTACATGGAACACTATCATCCTCACTGGTAGACATCGATGATTTGCCGTAAGACACTTGCCTTAGGACAAGATGAGTAGGAGGATGCAGTTCCAAACTACGACTGCCTTCAAACGCGAATGGAGGTAGTAACACTAAAAATCTTGGGCCGTGAAAGCCTTAATAAATTTATTCATGTATATGATTCAATATTCATATAATAATTGTTTCGAATGGACTCTCAGTTTCGTGTTAGTCACGTGGAAGTAGTTGTTTCAATAGAAAATTATTTTTCAAGTTTGTATAAACTTCATTGAAAGAGTGTCAGTTACAAGTATACATCCTACATTTCCGACGTTCTAAAAAAATTCATTGTTTTATGTGAAAAAATTTCGTCTGTGTGTGAATGATTTTCTTTATATAGTTATAATAGAATAAATATTCAGCTATCATCTCATTTCTGCCAGCGTTATTCAAATACCTGTTGTCTCCTGATTTCAGCTTCATCTAGTTTAACTTGTAATTTGTTCAAGGTGATGGGACTAGTTGGAGGTTCTTCTAACCGTTCTAAAATTCTCTTCGGTGGGTGCTTCTTAACTATACTTTCTTCTTGATTTTCTTCGAAAGCAATCTCAAATGACACACCTTGTGCTGAAACCAACAGAACTTTATTCAAAATCTTTTATAATTTTCATTTTATTAAAATTTTTTTGCTCATGCTCATTTTTATTTTTTATTTCTTTTTTACTCTACTCATTTCCATTTTGTATCTTGATTAATTCATTTATTTTGATTGTATTTTCAACTCAAGTTGTATTGCCTAATATAATAATATTGTTTGAAGGTGATTGACAATGTTTCGTGATGAATTTCACTAGTTCGGACTTCCATTGTCTATTATATAAAATGATTTGAAATCCCTGAAACAAGTAAAAAAGAATAATTAAAAAGAATAGTTGAAAATAACAATTATATTAAGCAACAATAAACCTGAAATGAAATGATAGTGAAATAACCTACAAGTAAAAATATAATAATTGAATAAATAAAAATTAAAGGAATACAAAAAGAAAATAATAAAAAATAAAAAAGTGTAGAGATTCCAAGTCACATTAGTTCACGACGTTTCGATTGTTGGTATCTACAATCGTCTTCGAAGACGATTGTATTAGACAATGGAAGTCCAAACTAATGAAATTCATCATGAAAAATTGTCAATCACTTTCAAACAAACGTTCAACAGAAACATGAAAGATGTCATGTAATAATAGGTACCGAGTAGGATAAGAAGCCAATCACCTACGAGCGAAAAATTGTAAGCACGAGGCGTTAGCCGAGTGGTTACAATTATAATTAATTCGCGAATGGACGTAATGGGGAATGTTCCTCAATTTTGGTTATTACAGCAAAAGCAAGTTTGAACAAAATAAAGTTGAGTTCAATTCAAGAGTTTTTCAAATTCACTTCGAAAAGTATTCAAATTGATGTTTCAAATGTTGGGTTTTAATTTTAAAAGGGATTTGTTTCTAATTCACATATTGGCAACAGCCCCTATATCAAGTTGAAATAATTTATACGTACTTAGATATTCTACTTTAAAAAAAAGGAAAATTGTCTTTATAAATCAACAATTAGGGCAAAATATAAATTATAGTTCAATACCACCTCCACACGACAGATAAACAACATGCTTGTTTTGTTATTTATTTATATAGAGGAAGATAGGTTAGGTGTACAAAATGTCATATGTCACAGAATGTCTCGCAACTCGGAACATAAGTAAACAGAACAGCGTGCAACAGCATCAGCAGAAAAAGGTTGAAATGATAAGTATAAAATGCGTTGTTTTAGAGCAATTTTATGAAAACTACTTGATTTTTGTCAGGAGGAACATTCCCCATTGGCATCATCCTCGCGGTGCATATTATACTTTTTCTACAACTGACCGTAGAAAGGAATGTACAATATATTTGTGTGAGATCATAGTTTTGGATAATAAACTCATCCACTCAATCAGTCAGTTTCTTGATAGTTATCACTCATTTTGAATTTTCACGAGATACTTATAATTAAAACAGGTGGTTGTTGATTCCCGGATATAACTAGATTCATTACCAACCCATAACTGTTGAACAATAAATTCACTGAAAATATAATTTTTATTTCGATTTTATAGAGATTTTGGAGAATTAAAGGTACTCATAAGATAATACTTATCAGAGTAAATGTTACATATCTCAATTAAAAAAAATTTCTTATGGAAGTGACCGCCATAAATTTAGAATACACGTGTATTCTAAATGAGTTATTACCTACTTGCTGTGAAACACGTAATAAATAATTTGAAATGGAGGGAGTAGAAAACATATTTCAAAGAATCTGTAAATTTAAGCGATTGCTAGACATTTTGCTATGCTTCATTTTTGAAAGAAGTTGCTAAAAATTTTCATTGAATAAAGATGAAACATTATTTGTTTATTAATATTCCAGAAATGTATATATAACACCTAAATAAGTGTAATTTGAGAGGGTTTATAAAACATTTATGATTTCAATTAAATTATAACGATTTCGCCCCAATATTAAACATCTTTTGAGTTGCATAGAGCAAATTTCAAAATAGGAACTAGGAGTTTGGGACAACTCACTTTAAAAATCTTATTATGCTCTTTGGATTCTGCTATTACTTAGTTTAGTTTTTTACAGAATATTCAAATGAAAAACTCTTGGAAGACTCCTAATCAAAAATATAAGTGTTTTTTATTGTTGATCAACATCATCTAATAGAACGAGTTATTTCTCTTTCTGAATCTGCTGAATGGAATGGTGTTGTTTTTCATTTTACATCAGTCACATATTCCTCTAAAAAACAGTCTGAAGATTTGAGATCAGGTGGTCGTGCTGGCGATTATATCGATCTTCGTCTTCGTACCAACCGATTCGTGAACATTAAGTTGAAGTACTAACGGACATTGTTTCGCTAATGTAGAAGTATGTCACAGTTGTTGGAACTTGTGGGTTTGCATGACCAAATTGTAACCACTTAGACCACAAGTGTACTTGTGCAAATGATGTCGTTTGTTATTTTCACTTGTTTGAAAAATACGTATCAATTTATATAAATACTTTCGATTTTCCTGCTGCTTTTTTCATCAAAATTATTTGTTCTAATCAGAATTATGTTTTCAAAACTTGAACAATTCGATATATAATCGCAACAACCAACAATTTTCCTAATTGATTTGATTGAAATCGAATGGGACGTTACCGGTGGTAATTGCTAGTTGAAACAAAATTGATGGTTTCTAACATAATATTGAAATACTTTTTATGTCATTAATTTCCAGTTATATTACAAAACATACGTCTCTCACCATCTTGTAGCTCATATATTGAGCTCGTAATACACTGATCCACTTGAAGTTTTATTTGTGATAGATATTTCGAAATTGCAAACTAATTTTGCTTACTTTCTGTCACGTTTTTAAAATAACTTCATCGGAGGTACAAAAATGTAGAATTATCGTTATTTCCGTGATGGTTTTTATGCAAAAGTTGAATTTTCATGATTGGTTGTACATAGTGAACCAAATTGAACACTTTTACAAAAAAAATCATGTTTTCAAACTGAATAGATGAAATCAGATGGCTGTGTCTGAGGAGCAAATTTTATGGCAAACTTATTGATGAAAACCACATATCGATATCTATCATCGTTTCTGAATTACAGCCTGTTTTTCGAAAATGCACATTTTCGAAAAGTTGTTGTATCTTTTCTCCTGCCTGAAAAGGTTCCTGTCTGTATATTCCTGCATATTTCAATAGATCTCAACATTATATTTCCAAAAATGTAGCACACTTGATGTTTTGCTAGAGTAATCTTTGAAAAACATAGCTTTTAGGTTTTTTCTTGTAAACTTTGAAACACACACTTTGATCAAGCAGGCTTTGGACGATGCGGCGATAAAAGAAAATGCAGATATTCACAGGTAGCTGTCGAATTTTGATTTAAGTAGTAAATACGCTATGCAGTTAGTGGTTTTTGTTCAATTCTCAAACACATTGGCAATAAAGTATGAGAATTATAATGATAGTCCGTGTAAAATGCAGAAGCATTTGTATCACGAGAGGTATCCAGTGATAAAATAACCTTTTAGACACAATCTAATTGATAGAATATCAACAGATGTACCAAGAACCAACGTTAGCAGAATTTCTAAAAAACACAAATCCAAGTCATACAGGACCAGCAAAGTTCATCCACTGAGACCAGGAGATTTTGGACGCTGCATGGCTTTTGTCAGTGATTTCCTGGAAAGTTGTAACCATGCAAGTGCGTAATTTTTTGTTGAACTGTTTTTGAACATACGAAGCTCAACTAAGTGCCAGCAATTTCAACCGCTACAATTCTTTTACTTGGGCACTACAAAATTCTCGTTCTATTGTGGAGCAGAGGAGTCAAAGAAGATTTGATGTGTGGGTAGATGTTTTCAGGTGTAGAATCATAATCATCGGCACACATAAAATGGCACACTCACATCTCAGAGATACTTAGAAATTCTAGGGCAAAATATCGAACCTCTTGTTGATGAATTGCAACAAATGGAGCTTAGAAAAATATATTTTCAATAAGACGGGGTTTCGCCTCACAACACTGCAAATGTTGGTAATAATTGGATGGTTACCCAAGAATCCAACCGTTAGCCAGCTAGGTCACCGGACTTATACCTTTGGATGAGGTTGAAAGATCTTATTTTCAAACTGCCGACCAATTCTGAATACGAATTGGAAGAGGTAGTGATGCAAACTTTTGCTTTTCTCACTCCTATTGAACTAATCAATTTAGACAAAAACGTTAAGTATATAGGAGGAGCTGGTTGATATTGCAAACACTTTTTCTAAAGAAATATATTGCATTCCTAATCGTTATTATGAAACTATGCGTTTCAATTACTGCTGAGAAAAGCTTCCTCAACATTTGATAGCGTCTACTGAACAATTTCCTTCTGTTTTTTCGCCGCGTTCTCCAAAGCCTACTTGATGAAATTGTGTGTTTCAAAGTCTACATGAAAATGCGAAAAACTCTGTTTTTCAAAGATGATTCCAGCAAAACATCAAGTTTGCTACATTTTTTGTGAAGGTAATTTTAAGCTCTATTGAAATATGCAAGAATATACAAGGTGTTTCATTAAAAAATAGTTTTTCGCCAATAACATCAGTGAACAGGGAATTTTTGACAAGAAAAAAGTTACAGAAACTTTTCGAAAATAAACATTTTCGAAAAACATTCTGTAAGTCAGAAACTTTGACAGATATCGATATGCAATTTTCACCATTGAGTTTGTCATAAAATCTGACCATCAGACACAGTTATCAATTTTTATCTATCTGGTTTAAAAACACAAGTTTCCGTTTGAAACTGTCCAATTTGGCCCACTCTGTATAAATCTATTATCTAGAATCTTCTTTAAGGTGTGAATATAATACTTTTCATCAACATACTCGAAGAACTTTCTGGAACTTCCAAATCTACGTCCAAATCTACGTATCTTCTTTCAGTGAAGCTCAATCAGTAATCTTTTCAACAGACAAAAAGTTGAAAATACACAAAATCATTAGTTACTTCCACTACCAACTGTACCCACACCTGAATGTAAAACCCTGCAACTTTTCGTTTTGATTCGGTTATTAACAAGTTTGATAAAAAATTTCAGAGATAATAAACGAACACCCATGCTATTGAAGAAATATGGGGAGTAGCTGAGAGTGGAATTATTATACGAATTTCCTGGTGAAACGCAATGTAGGAAACTCCATTTACGACCAATTAAAAAACCAATGGCCTTTGTCAAGTCATGAAACTTGATTCTGCAAAATGATTACAGATAATTTAATAAATTTTTATGTTTTTTCAACTTACGTGCTTTCTGTATATTATTGACGCTCACGTCTAATACTTCTTCTTGAAGATCATCCGCTACCAAAGGAGGCATCTCCGCCGAAGGTTCTGAGGGTGATATAATTCTAACTGCATTGCCATTGGATACATCGGCATGACCATTGAGTGGTTCAACAGGAAAGTTTTTTGCAGCATTGCAACCCATATCTGAAAAATTGTTCAATGTAATATAATTCGTGACAACATATTCACAGCAGTTCAAAAAACAACTGATTTTGCTATTGAACTAGAAAATCATTCGAAACATATTTTATCGACCGCTTTATGTAACCAATGAATAACTAACTGTCTGGTCTAATTTTAAATCACAAGCAAAATATTTTTCATGACATACAGGGTGTTCATTGAACATGACACAAACATTCAAGAAACTATTCCTTGGACTATTCTAAGGACATTTTGTCCTTTAATGATCTTTGATAGAATGCTTCGTTTCGAAGCTACGGAGCGAAAAAGAATTTCGACAATAACAATTTATTACCAAAAATTACATGTAATGTTTCTCTATCTACAAGAACTGTTGAAAATGACTACCCCCTGCTCGGATGCAAGAATCCAATATTCTCCTCATCGACTCCCGAACTCTTCCAAAAACCCCTCTATAGATACTTCTATAGATACTTCCACGGGAAGTGTTCAAGTGACTTGGCACATGTGATTCCACCAAGAGCGGTACATATCAGAAATACGCGACAGACTGTGACTGATTATCGTTTCGAGGTTCGACTCAGTACACCTCGAACATTACTGTTTGAGAACCCTTTCATTTGAAGAACGGCATTTAAATGGAATATACTACTTGAGAACGTTTTTCCAAATAATCTCCAGTGATTCAAATCCAATGTGAATCACTATTTCCCAGAGGCATCGCTCTAAGAACGCTTGAGGATTTTTCTGTAGTGCGTTTCTGATTGCGTTACAGCCAGCAAATTGAATGTGCGCAGCCGTTTGTAGTAATCGGAATGTTGTTGATAGGTACCAATAGAATTGTTATATTTTCTATTACTTGGTAGGTCCAGTATAGTACGCTGTACTTTTATTTTGGCTACGTTAATAATTTTGAAATCACCGAAATTGTTATTGTCAAATTTTCGAATCAAAGCGTCCTATCTAAAATCATCAAAAGACAAAATATCCTCAGAATAGTCCCTCAATTTCTTTCCGCATGTTTAATGAACACCCTGTATCTTTTTTGTCGATTAATGTTTTCGCTACTTGACAAAATTTGTTGATAAATACATTAAGAAAAGCTTCTGCATATCCGTACACAACCATTTTTGTAGAAAATTTTATTTCGATTAATGTTATATATCTACATATAGAGCCAATGAAAGAAGAACATTTGTTCGACGTATCGTATTTGACATTCAAAAAACTCTTGTACATATTATTCCCCCACCCGGAAAGGTAGGATTCAACCATGAAATCGCAAATGGAATTAGGATTCATAAATTCCAGCGCACACGTTTTACTTTTCAGGATAAAATATGTGAACTTGGCGGAGTGAGCGTGGGTTTTCATCAGATCAGTACCCACAAATATGACAACTAATATTTTGTTAAAAAGAAAATCACTCATCTGAAAGACAGATATTTTCAACAACAAATTTATCCATTCATCAAATGATTCGCAAACTTGCAAACGAGTGAATTGTTTTAGAATTTCAAAATTCGCCTGCACTTATACTTCATGCAGGAGACTGTAATTGGCTTACTACTTGATACTGATACTGAAGGGGTATAAATTTTCGTAAGTTTTTTTCCACCGTTTCATTTTTGCTTCCAATCCCGTTTTTCTAAATGAATTTAATGAAGTATTACTGGTTTGAATATTTATTAAGGGTTTTTTCCATTAAACAACAGTGCTGTAATACTGATGTACCTACCGTTTCCATGGAAACGTTCAATACTCAAACTGTTAAAATAATGTATCGAAACAATCTCGGTCAAAAAAGATGCTAATGAGGTAGTAAGACAAGTTTCTTATTCCGAAACTTCGAAGTACGTTATTGTGGATGATAGAGTTCCATATCAGTGACATTTCATATTTTGATTCTCCCATATATGTTTTTTCACTACTTACTAACGTTACTCCAGTTTTGTCCTATGAAGACATTTTCAAAAGGTTATTGTATTCGTTGTCCTTATAGAACAACGAATACAATAGAAAGTTTCATTTCTCATCTTTCATGATGATCTCCTACCACATAGTGATGACTACATCCATCAATTTATATTGTGTAGTGTTCCTATGAATGATATCTGATTCAATTCCATAACGAATGTTTGGATAAGAAACTGAATGGAAAAAAGTGATTTTTGTATAATCAAATATTCGTGTAATTCAATATTCATGTTGAACTAATTGTTCCTGATGAAGAAAGGGGGATTTCTTCTTTAATTTGAATCTGAAAGTAACTTCTGGGCATGATCTACACATCTTTCAGACGTAGATAGTGAAATATGATCTCAGTTGATGATAAGTGCTTGGAATGTAGAGCTCTGGGATGTTCCTACAATGGTCTACTCGATTCAAAGTTAACAGAACTGACAAAAATAACGTATAACTATAAATTTTATACTTGAAAACTTCAAAATATTTCAAATCAAGGACTAGTCAATCGAGTAACTTCATCATGTGAACTTTCGAAATTTTAGAATTGATCCAAATAATGTGCTGAATGTCCTGAAACACAATATTATATACCGAGTGACCCGGAACCAGTTTACCCTCGTGTATTTTCGTTGTTATTTTATATGGATGCTTCAAATTCGGTACAATAATTATCAAACCAAATATGACACTTTCGGTTTGACCGGAAGCGCATCCATTTTTTTTTCTTAATAACGATTTGGTATATAATCACTTCTTCAACGATATATCACAATCATACTTTCAATTAACAACCTGCGGATACAAGTGAGATTTTATAAAAATTACTTTTTGTATTCCACTCGTAACGAAACAGTTTCATGAATGTATGCTATGAAAGAGTGAACAATATCCTGTATTTAACAATAATTCATGACCAAACTTTTTACACAATGAGTTTTATACAAACTAATAATATCACAATTTCATTTTTCCCTCATTTTTCAACATCAATACATTAATTTCCTTTATATGCTAACTTTGGAATTTTGAGATTGGTTAGAAACTCCAATACACATTGAAGTACAAAACATGAAAAAACCTGCATATTTTTGTTTCCTATTTATTTTTTATGAAGATAATTTATATGATATACCTACATTTGTACTGAATCTTTCAGCTTCATCGCAATTGGCTATGATATTGAATTTCTTCTGAAGGCCTGGTATTATTTTTGAAACTGCAAAACAGAACGCAACAAAATATGTATTACGATAATTTTCCTACAAAATAGTAGACATTTGGAACATGTATAGTTTTCTAAATCAATTCAAAAGACATTGAACACCTATGACAGACTCAAATCAATCTAATCGTTCAAAATGTCGCCCGTTAACGTCATTGCATTTTTGTATTTTTTCGGAGCATGCCTGCATAACATTCACTAGTTGAGCCGGTGTTATTTCGTTGATGGCTCTCCTTACCCTGTCTTCAAATTCCTTGCGATTTTGAGGTATTATATGAGCATAAACTCAATTCTTCAAGTGAGCCCAAACAAAAAATCAACTGGTGTGAGGTCTGCTGACCTTGGTGGCCAACGGACTGGACCATGAGTACCAATCCAATTGTCGTTGAAGGTTCTAGTGAGATGACCTGGTACGTTCGAATTATGTGAAGGATTCTTCATCTTCTTGGAAATACGTAACACGACGTGTCGCTAAGGGAATGTCTTCAATAAAATTTTGGATTTCATCATTCGAAATTTGTAGGTACTGTTCACCTGTTGGAGTTCCATCAAAAACAATTGGTCCCACTATTCTGGTTCCAAAAATTCCTAGCGAAACATTGAATCCGAATCTTTCCTGGTGTCTTCCCTCTCTGAACACATGCGGATTTTCTTGTGCCCAATAGTGTATATTATTTCTATTGAATTGATCATCGTTTGTAAAGCGTATAATCCAGTTACAATACAGAATCCTTCTCCGCGCATCATTTTCATACAAATATTGATGAATTTGATATTTCAATGGAAGATAGCGGTATTTTTTTCAAAATGTGTCTTGCTGTTTCTCTAGGCACCCCGGCCTCATATTCGATTTACCTCAATGATGTATTTGGATCAATTTCAACCGCTGCTAGAATAGTGATCACCGTATCTTCGCTTACAATAACATGTTCCCCCTCATAATTATTCCGTTCTTTCCTGAATTGTGACTCCATTATTGCAAAATAGTTTCTAATACTTGGTTGCGGATGGTTATGATATCTCTCCTGGTATAGACGCAAGGCTAAACAGGATTTGTTCCTTGCTTCTCCATGAATCAACAGCATATCAACTTTTTCAGTTTGGGAAAATCGGTAGTAGTTGTTTATTTCACAAATGATTATCTTAGACAATTCAGAACATTCGAAATGTCAACAGTTTGACGTAATCACAACGACAGAACAATTCAACGAATTTAATTCCATAGTCAAGTAACATTAAGTTGAAAGGTTCAATACAAATGTAGGTATACAATGGAAATCATTTTCATAAAAAATAAATAGAACACAAAAGTATGGAGGTTTATTCATGTATTGGAGTTTCTAACCAACTTTAAAAATTCCTGAGTTAGCATTTAGAAGAAATGATTGTATTGATGTTGATAAATGGAGAAAAACTAAAATTGCAAAAATAGTTAGTCTGCATAAAAATCATTGTATAAAAAGTTTGCCCATGAGTTATTGTTACTTACACAATATTGTTCAATCTTCCATAGCATACTTTCATGAAAATGTTCTGCTACGAAGGGGATACAAAAAGTATTTTTTTATAAAATCTCAATTATGTCGGCAGATTGGAGGTATGATTGTGACATATCATTGGGAAGGTAATTTTATATCAAATCGTAATTTAAAAAAAATACATACTTTCCATTTGAAATATAAAAATTGGATGCGCTTCCGTTCAAACTGGTAGTATCATTAAATATTATTAAATGTGGTTTGATACTTGACAAAATCTACAGTCATAACANCCTCTGAAATATGTCATCTTTGTTTGTCTCATACAGGTA